TCGTACGGACCCAAACGAATAGACTGAGTGACCCTCGGACGCTGGGGTGGTGGCGCTAGACGCAGGCTGACTGTTTTCGTTCCCCATTTTACGTTTTGGTTTTGCTTCTTTAATTAAACAATCTTCGGTCCACAATTCGAATTTCTGCCGGAATTATTTTCCCGCTTTTAATATACCCTCGTGTATATTTTAATGTTTAAATTTATAATATTTAAGATTCTTCGTGGGTCCGTGTGTTTATATATGGGGGAAAAGTTTGGCCTCTTTTATATATATATAAAGCAGGTCGATGAAGAATATCCAAAGTCAATATATTTCGCCAATTCTTTTAATAATCAATTTTTCTATTTCCAAGAAAAAATGATAAAACTAAATTATATTAGCTTTATCTTTGAACCCTTTCTTTCCCTGGTAATATAACAATTTTCTACACCAGGATAATGCACTGGTATAACAATAACAACAACAAGAATAAATATAACAATGGAAATTTTATCAATAATCAATATCGTAATAATAAAAATGCAACAATGGGGTTGTGTGTGCGTGTGTATGTCTGTATATCCTTTTTTTAAGCTTATGTGTGGATTTAGATATTTTGGTGGCAGTATCTTCGTTTCACAAATATTTACGAAGCATATATTATAAATATTATACTTTTTTCAACCCCGAAGATTTACTCTCTTTTTTTCTGAATTTTATATTCTTTAATGTTAATTTTTTAATTTAAAAAAAAAATTATTAAAGTTTCACTGCCTCAATTGTTTTCTATAATTTGAGTCAAACTGAACTACCTATTTAATAAGGGTGCATTTAAAATGTTAGTGTTTTTTTTGTTTTTTTTTTACAAAATCTTAATTCCCTTAATTCTGAATGGAAAATAACCTTCCTTCAGCAAACATTTTTTTTTAAATTGTATCTTAATTGTTCTTTATGGAACAATATTTTTGCCTTTTTAAAAACTTATCCTTGGCCTATTCAAACAACTGACATGAAAGGCACACACTTTTGACTGGCCTGTTTATTTTTTCCCCTTTTAATGGGTTTCCAAATATATAAGGTGTAACAGATATATCTATCTATATACACGTTACACATTAACTTATATTTCACGCACATATATATGATACTAACTGTGCATCTTTTTTTTTAATATTTACAAACCGATGCACGGAGATTAAGTAAAACTTGACAGAAATTTCTTAATATCTCTAGCTATATATATATATATATATATATATATATATATATATATATATATATATAGACTTTATATTTTTTAGGACAAGTCTACGTTGGCTTTATGTCCGTGGCTGGAAGAGTTCTTAAGGCCAGCCAAGTCATGTCGTTAATTCTATGACTTCCACTGTTACGCTTAGTGTTACGAAAATTGTTTTTCATTTCCTCATCAAATGTAATGCAAGTGGCGATTTTTCCCAGAGAACTAACAGGAGAATCTTGTATTATGGTCGCGTAACAGCTGATTTGCTGGCTAGAATGTTTGTAGCCCAAGTTATTCTTAGAAGGGGAAGAGTTGCTGACGAAAGAACGATACTGGAGGTAGTGCCTATATCTAAATCCGTATGTTCGAGTTTTCATTACTTTCATGTCGTTGTCGTCGCCTTTCTTTGGTCGGCTGTACATTCTTAATATCCGGTATGACTGTTTCACTTCGGTTTCTTCTTTTGCTTTTAATTTTTGTTAATTGTCAGGTAAATATAAAATCACCTGGAGAGCACGTTTTTGTGCGTTTTCTTTTTCATTAAAGTACGTGTGCGTTGATACTGGTTTGGGTAAGCTTTCAGAGGCAGGTTATGCAGAAATGGTACTCTTACAGGAAAAAAAACACATGATTAAACCAAATTGCCGAAAGAGAAGAATAGTTTTCAATATAATGCTTACTGTTGTATTCCGATGCAAATGGGCTAAACATTTAGAGTTCACGTGACTGACCACAAAATATATTGGTAAGAACTTTTTTACTTTTCTCCACAAAAGGTGTTTATTGTCTCAGTGATTTCATTCCGATAACCAGAAATTCATAACTTTCCTTTTTGTTTTCTTCAATTGTTTTTTATTTCGAGTTAGAAATAAAGCGTTATTTACGTAAATATGAATAAATCTCCTAATATTGTCCAGGATTTTTTATTTACTCCCCATTTTCCGAAGCTTTCTTAATTGCACGCTGATTAGTTCAATTTTTTCCTCGCTGGCATTATTTGTTAGAGACCAGAGTGCGACATTGAAAATAACAACATGATGAAATATCGCCACCCTAATTCTGTACCAACTTTGTGAACAGCCTGTGTGTGTGTTTGCTCGCTTTCACGGGTAGTTGCATTTTGAAAAGAAACATTCATTAGATCAGGCCGGTTAATTAAAAAGAAAGGAGAGATAAGATTTTTGGAATATTTAGTTATGATGGAAATTCGATTGCTCCAATTGGGAAAAAAACCTGAGCCTATCTACTGCGAGGGAAAATTTAGTAATTTCTCTGATTTTCCAGTCATGCATGGAAAGAAAATCGTACTTTAAGCGGGAAATAGGATTTTAAAAAGATGAAAAAGAGTACAAGATGAAAAAAAAGGCTACAATTTTACTCTATTAGTTATGGATTAACTTTCCTGAAAAAGGATACATATGTAATAAAAGATAGTTATCAAAAAACACACACAATTGAGAGAGTAAATAATTGGAGCAACCTAGAAACACTTTTTATGGAATAAAAGAGAGGAAAAACTAGATTAATTTATTTGTAATAGATTTTATAGAAAACGGTTCGACTTACTCGACACAATAAAAAATAAATGCACTTCCCCCAAAGTATAGTATAGAAATCTTGGTACTATGTGAAATTCCACTATTTTAATAATGCACGAATTTCGTTACATGCACATATAAACAGTTATCTATTCACATATCTTTATTTTTTTTTACTGACTCGTGTTCTGTTTGTATTTATATATTACCTATTTTAATGATAATTTTATTATTGTAAGCGGCTGGGAACAGATAAACTAGGTTCCCTATCTACACTTAAAAAGTAACATCACCGACAAATTGATCTGGTGGGCATTTCATCAGAGAGATGCCCTCCAGGTGCATATCATGGCAAATTATACAGGTGCGCCAACGCACACAGGCACGCGCACGCACGCCCTCTCACACACACACATACACACACTCACACACGCGCGTGCGCAGACGCACCCACTCGGCTAACAAAAGCAAATAATTATGTCAGTATATAGGTGTAGAATTCAGACTTTGATTTTTTTTTTCTTTAAGAAACCCTAAGCAAGTTTTTTATTATTATTATTATTATTATTATTATTATTATTATTTTCTTTCTCTCTCTTTTCTTTTACCTGTGTGCGCGTGACCGTTTTCAGAAGAGGGACTTCTCTTATTTTTTTCGTCTTTTCTTTTTGCGTTTTTTCCGAACTTTCACTTTCTCTTTGTTAAGTGGCAATGGTGAAGGAGACGGTGATATCGACACTTGCAATTTTGGCTTAACGCCCGTTTTCGTCCATTACTTGTAGTTGTGTACATGCAACACCCAAGTGTTGCTCGCTTTGATTGAACCACAGCAACATTATATAAAAAAAGAGAATCACTTCTAGTCACGACTGTTTTTTTTTTATTAGAGACTCAATTCTTTCTTTCAGTCGTCACAAATAGATTTCTTCTTTCCCTTTTGCTGATCGTCTGATTTTTCAATATTTTTTAATAATCACAATAAAGACTATTTATATTTTCTTTCTTTTCAGAAGGATTTTCCGCTTACACTTTCTTGTTATAGTTTCCACGCGACTTTTTTTCTTTTTAAGAACCTCAAGTTTCTTCAATCTTTTATTTTTTTTAAAACATCACCGTTTTCAATTGTTTTGTAAATCCTGTCGTCAGAGACATTTAGCTGTAAATTGCGTTAATTCTCCAGTTGAATTTTTATTTTTAAAATCCTCTGTTTCAATCCTCTGTCTTGTATGGGTAATAACCAACAGACGCCAGCTCTAAAGAAAGAGTCGATGGAATTGGTAGTTGCAATAAGGATGTACTCGTTTCAACAGCAGTAGTTCTATTAGTATTTGCAAGGCTTAGCAGTTGCAGTAAGCGACTATTTTATTATTGTGTGTCCTTGTGACGTCGGGACAGCTGTAGCAGGAGTAATAATTGTAGTAGTAACAAATTTAGCAGCAGGGAAGAAACGGTGGTATTAGCAGCAGTTTCCTCGTAACAGTTGTTAGTTATCGTCGCCGTCAGTTGCTGCTTCTTGGTCGTCTTGTTGTCCACTGCCACTTAAGTTCTTGTTGCTTTTATACTCCAGGTAGATTTTTGTAGTAATGCTTTTATTGCTTATTGGTATAAGTGCGTATACCAGTGTTATTGTAGCAATATCGGTACTATCAAACAATCTGACAAGGTTGTCTTTTTTATCGCAAGAAACACTGTTTTGTTATTGAAGGAAAGTGATTGAGGCAAAAAGAAAAGAAATGCAACTGTGTAAATGTAGCAAAACGAAAACAAACCGGAAAAATATACTACACAAAAATAAACAAATAAAACAAAAGTAATCAAATCCAAAATGGGTGGGGCAGGGGGAACACTTAGCAAACTATCAATTTTTTATCCTGATTAATAACGTCCTTGATAAAATTTATATAATCATTTTCCCTCTTCTATTTCCTGTTTTTCTTACGGAAAATTAAATATATACAATTTATCTGTACATCCACACCAGCTGACCATTCACTGTGAAAGTTAGTAGGTCAGCTCAAGACTTGCCGTATCCGGTTAGTTGTGGCAGCAGCAGCAGCAACAAGCACACTCCTTTTTACCATTCATTCATATTTTGTCCTTGTAAATCAATCGTCCGTTTGTTAGTCCGTTCCGAGCTGCGTGACAACAGAGCGAGCGTTCAAGCGAGGCTGGTATCTTTTCGAAATTATTTTAAAAGTAAAGTCCTGTCTTGCCCGTGTGCCACTATCCTCCTGTCTTCGCTAACTTGTTAAGGTCCCAACAGGAATCACCTGGATAGAAATGCGGGCAGTCGCTTTTTGTCGCTTCTTGCTCGCTCTGTCTGTCTGCTCATCTTCCCGAGAGGAGCGCCGTACGCCCAATGGTGATAATGCTGTGTTGTAGCCGTAGTTGCAATTCTGGCAGTAGCAGCAGCAGTAAAAGATGTAAGCACGGAGGAAGAGAAAAGTGAGATAGATGCAACAGAGAGTTGCAGAGGGAGTGGTAAGAGTTATAAACTTAACGCTCGTGCTCGTGATAGTAATCGTAGTAGGTGTGTTAGTAGCAGTAGCAGCTGTTGAGGCAATGCCGAAGATGAAGATAATGATGAGGATTGCAATGATGTTGATTGATTTGTAGCTGGCGGCGGGGTGGAGGGTCGAGAGAGGTGACAGCGAGTACTGAAATGACTCGAACTGCAAGAAGAGAAGCAGAGATTAGCCAAAGGGAATATTTCTTTTCTTGCTTATCTCTTTATATTCAATTTATTTATTTATATTTACTATACGTTTTTTTCGCTTTTATTTCATTGTCTGTTTGTCCTCTCTCTCTCTCTCTCTCTCTCTCTCTCTCTCTCATCTAACAAAAAAGACAGTTATCAGTGTCAAGTTATTAGCGAAGTGGACAATAACAAGTTGTCCTTAGTCTCAATAGAAAAGGTTTCATTTTTTCTTCGCGAGGTATTATCATCTTTCTTCTTTTTCTTTATTTATATTTGCTGAGTTTTCACACCATAATACAGAATGTCAAGCGACAACAAGTTCCTCCAATAATCTTGCGATCTCCTCAATATTCTGACTGAATTTCCTAACGCTGCCTTCTGGATAATTTCGATTCTTCAACGGATTTCTAATACTTTCAACTTCTTTGCACGACTTTCCGTCACTAATAATAATCAGTACAACTATCACATTCATATTCAATTATATTCTCAATTTTATAGTGTACGTAACATTTCACTATCCCTAAGTTTCTCTCTGTTTATTATTATTATTATTATAACTACTACTACTACAACTACTATCATTAATTCATTAATAACAGTAATAATAATAACAACAACAGCGTGTGAGAGCTGCGTACGCTAACAAAGTGACGCCCAATATAGTCATCACGAGACCCAGTGTGAAAAGTATGCTCGGCACATACATCACAAGCAAATATACGCTATATGGTTTTGAAAAAACAAAAACAAAACAGCAACAATAGAGCATATCATTTCAAGTGGGGCCCAGTTAGAAATACCTTCAGATCGGGTAACTAGATACCCCCAGATGGTCTCTGACTGAAGGTGTCCCCAAGTATCCAGGTTATTTTGGCTGTCTCATTCTTCAAACTTAAAAAAAAAACACGACAACACTTTGTCACCCGGCCATAATAATCTTTCATTATTACCGCTCATTAACAGAGATGCACAGTGTGTCAGTCATTAGAAGACACGCCCAACTGGTTATGGTCAGACAGCTGACAAGCAAATCTGAGATACTGAACGGAATATTTACTGTAAGACATTTCAATTCCCGAAGACAGACCATGTACATGTTAACATATCTAAGTGATGTTCCAGAACACTTTAACTTATTTTCTAGCATTGTTGGGGGTTTGAATTCATAATATTCTTCTCTCTGGGCAATGTTATTGGCATATCTTGACATACAACCATTTCTTTACTGTATAATGTCTATATTTAAACACATTCAGTGCTAGAATAGCGTGCCCGTGTGTTAGATGGTCAAAGGCTTCATCAGCATTTATACAAAAGTGACATTTTGTGTATGTCCTATTTATTAACTTAAGTACCTGATAGGGTATTGGCAAGTTTTGATATTCAGCGGCTAGGATTAACCTTTTTGTTTTAGATTTCAACTCAAGAGCTTTGCAACCACTTATGGGTCATATTTTTGTCAACGCCAGGTTCGTGTGTTTGCCTCAGCTGTGTAATGGTTTTTCTTTTCATTCGGATTTTAGGCTCGTATTCTCTGCTTTTTATTTGATTTTTTGTCTCCACTTTTGGTATTTTATTTCCCATTACATTTTGTCTGTAGAATTGTAGATTTTCTTTTTAATTTTCAGTTTTCTTTGATAAACCATTGAAGCTTTTTGTTCAATTCATACTCGTAAACAAGCGTTAGCATCTAATCATTGGTTAATTCAAGATATCTTTGAAGTCCTTTGGTTGTAGACTTGTAAGTCCTAGGTTGTCTTTTACCTCCATCTGCCCTGTACGGGCTGGGTCGATTTCCATCTGCTTTGGGGTGGTGCCTGTTATGCATGATTAGCAAATTTCTTATCCTTCTATCTATTCTTCGTATGTGTTCTAATTTATCATTTAATAGGTCTTGTTAAGGCGGTAATGGCCTGAACATTAATTTTTGGAATTTAATTTTATCGCCCATATTTGCCTCAAACATTGTGGAAACTAGAACAAACGAATTATAAGGAATAGACATTTGAGTATCTTTGGAAAATCATTGCAAAACGGTTCCAACTTCGCCACAACCATCAGGCATGTCCCATTTTTAGATATGACAGCTCCAGTTGAGGAAGTTACCCTGGAGGCCCAAGAAGATGAGCTGAGGTGGAAAGTGAGAAGAGCACTAGAAAAATAAACAAACAATTCTTCGAGGCAATTGCTTTAAGAAAAGTATCACGAAAGTCAACAATATGGTTGAGATATGCAGATGACACCTTCACATTCTGGTCTTACCAGGAACCTGTAAAATTACTGCTGCACCATGTAGACTCAGTACCTCCCATCCAGTTCCCAATTCTTGAATGAAACAATAATCAACTACCCTTCCTGAGTGTACTAATAACTCGCATAGAGAATGGTTTCAAGACAACCGTGTGCTACAAATCAACATTAACCAGACAATTCAATAACAATGTTAAAGAAAGAAAGAGAAATAGAAATATCATACAGAATGAAAATGGAATCGTCTGATTCCTACAACACTTCAAAAATCCTGCAGTGGCCTAGAAACATACAAACAGGACATGATCATAATCAAACGTACCATGAAAACATCACATCGGTTTCTGCAGGCGGAAACAAAAGCGCCAAAGAAGAAGACCAGAAAAATGCCAAAACTGGTCTCCCTTATATGAAAAGCTTGCCGGAAACGATTCGGAAGATCTGAAATCCTTATAACACTGGGACAATATTCAGAAGCAGCTCAACCCTACGGAGAATTCTCATCAGAGTTCAACCTAAGAGAGGACATAACGAAGAAATTTATGTATTCCATCACTTCCAGTTGTAGCAAAAAATATAAATGTGAAGCCAGCGTGTCCTCTAAAAGTAAGTCTGGAACATTGAAAAATCATAGTTAGAAGTGAGACAATGAGATCAGGCATTACTGATTATGTATGGAAGGAAAACATTGCCCATATATTAAATAGTCAATAGTTACCTCAAACACTATTGAATGGATTGAGTAAAGCCCTAGAGAGCCAAACTGGAGAGCCAGAGGACTGTAATAATCAGCGCATATGCTAGGTTATGAGCACCTCGTTAGTAGACCTAGCATAGAAAAACAGAATCTGAGAGCCGTTAATAAAGAAAGAAAGAGAAATAGAAATATACTGTAGAAGCAGCGGGTCGGTCAAGTACCATACATCCCCCCCTCTTTCGATTCATGACTGAGTAGACATAACATTTCCCGTTTCTTTCTACGGTAAACTGATTGCAAATGAAGGTTATAGGGTTCATTCTGCCCTGTTATTCAACCCATAGATTTCAAAAAGTATTTGCGCGTAATTAAATGTAACACCCACAACTAGAAATCGAACAAGGCTATACGATTTCTTATTCCGAACAGTTATCTATTACAAAGAGAAACATCATCGAATGCAGTCAAGGGCGATAAAACAGCAGACTTATCAACAGGCAGATTGAATTTAAGGCTCAAATTTCTACACTGAAAAGAGTGGATTAAAGTGTTGGGTCAGGAATTTGGTGACATCATAATTGTGAGTTCAATCCCTGGGTCAAGCAGTGCTGATTTGGACGCAGTGGAAACGGGACAAGGAATATCTGAGAATTACTGAATAACTGAATATATCATTAGACATGGTCAGCGAAAATTTCTAACCCCGTAGATTTAATAAAGGGTTCAATCTGAAACTATCGGAAGGTTGCTCGGATCGACAAGCAACTGATTAAGGCCGGAGTGTACAGAGGCCGAAATATTATACTAATAACAACGAATATGAGGTCAATAGTCTGCATGTAAATAAATTATTCTTTTCTATTTTTTGTGTCATTTTTGCATACTGGATTCATTGTCCTACATGTATACTACAATCTTGATATACTACTTCTTGCGTTATTTTGTGATTCACAATTTCTTTGTCAAATTTTATATCCGTTGTTCATGCCAATTTCCATCTTTGGAAGGTTGCCATGATACATTTTTGTAGACTGATTTCCATAGCTTTTTATCATGATTGATGCTTTTTATTGTTAAGAAACTCTCTAATTCATTATCAACTTTCATAATTATTCTTACTGAGTGCGAGAGCAACATGCCGACAAAGAGATATAAAAAAGAAGCCCAATATGCTTGTAATGGCAGCCATCTGAGTGGTTTAAGAGATAAATAAAAATAAAATTCACACTATACAATTATTGCCTCACCGATTCTTGCTTTCCAGCCTGTTTGAAGTCCTTCTCTATCGTACCGTTCTTTAAGAACTATGGAGACCTTTTGACTCATCTATCTACCATCCCAAAATCTCCTACTACTCTTCAGCAAAGTCTTCGAGGCTTTAATCAATGCCGAAGTAGGTAAGCATTTCACTTCTCACTGCTTTATTTGATCTACCGCTAATGTGCTTAATGCCATAACTGAATATGTATACCAAGCTCTTGATAATAACGGTGAAGCTCGATCTGTTACACTAGATATATCGAAGGCGTTGGATAGGGTTTGGCATGCTGGTCTTCTACGTAAGCTTCACGGATACGGTATTGCAGGACGATTATTTGATTTAATCCAATCATTCCTGTCTAACCATGAAATGAATGTAGTCCTGAACAGGTTCTCTTCCAGTTCTTTCCATACGAACGCTGGTTGTACTCAAGGGTCTATCCTGGCCCTACACTGTTTCAGGTCTTCATCAGTAATTCTTCTGATGTAATCAGTTCTCAAGTCGGCATCTATGCAGCCGACATTGCCATTTACTCCTGTCTCAATAGTAAATCCGGCATTGCTGACAAAGTTAACCTGGCCGTTGGTCCCGAAAACGACATCCGATCTGTGGTTGGCTGGGGCGGGGAAATGGCTTCTGAATTTTAATGCATCCAAAACTAAATTACTATCATTTACTTACTACAGAGAAACATTCTTGCCTCATATCAGCATGGTTGATGCCCAACTCCACGAGAATGCCTCAATGCTCCTTCTTGGTCTCGTGTTTTCCACTGACTTGAGATGAAACAACTACATTGAATCAATAGCTGCATCTACTTCAAGGGAAGTTGGTTCTCTGTGTCTCGCCAGAAGGTTTTTCACATTTGAATCTATCCTTCACAGCTCTCTCTGTCTTTTCTATAAATATTTTCATTACATCTGCTCTGACGAACTATTTTCACTGGTGCCCCGACTGCATGAATTTAAGCATGCTACTAGTTGGTATCTTGGTCCCACACTTTTACTGTCGAAACAGTTAAATGTAACTGCCACTTCTACTTCTTCTCTCACACTTCCCGATAGTGGAACCTCCTTCCTCTTACTCGCTACCCTAGTAACTATACTCTTCAAATATTTAAATGTCATGTCAATCGACATCATCTATTGTTTTAATACCCGTTCTTCTTTATATCCTCTCCCTATACTCATTCTTTTTCCTTACTCTCAGTCTCTGTAGCCCCTTGCGTACTAGTAGCACTCCCGCCTAGCTTGGGGTGAAATGCTAAAAAATAATATTATCCCGTGCAAGGAGTGAGCTCACAACCTTCAATCAGCTAGAGATTTTGATTTTAAATAACTTGTTGACTGGATTAAGATCACTCATCAGAGGAGCCTTATATAAGGCAATGTTTCTTTTTTTTCTTTCTTTAGCGAGTTTTTGTTCTGTTGCCTGGAGAACATTTATCACTCGGGATTTTTACCAGATGCTCGATTCTCGAGGAACGCAATGCGGAGAGTTGAAGAGAAGAAAAAAGAAAGACTAGGAAATCAAAACGAAGACTATTATTTAATTTAAAGTAGAGTCTGATAAGAGTAAAAATTTTCTAAGCGTAGCTTAGATGTAGCACAAGACTGAAAGTATGGGGCACTCAGTGAGGATCGATCTCACTATTCAGTCGTAACTGATATAGCGAGATAAGCTTGCTAACATTTACATCACGTCGAAGTGGCCAAACAGTTTGCTAAGAGTATACTTGGCACACATCTCTTATATCTCGGTGTGATATATGGCGATGGGTTTTGATAAAGAAAGAAGTAGCACTTTCAAATACCTTCAGGACGCCACGACAGTCTCCTATTGAGGGTGTTTCCAACTTTCTTTCTGAAGCCCAATTCCATCTTTTTCAAGCGTTTGGCCTTGTGATATGTTTATAATTCTCGCAAAAGCAGGACGAACTGGAAACTGGATTCTTGTCTAGCAAAAGTTAAAGGAAAGATATGTAAAAAAACAATATTGCATTTTTATTAAATAAGTATTTGCTAATTTAATCATTAAATTGTTTTTAATATAGTAGGAGTATTTTTACCAAAAAATTAATGAAAATTTATTGTACTAAGCTACGCACCCTAGTAAAATCAAGTGTACTTTGTGCTCCCCTTACCTGTTTGGATTTCTCCCCAAAATTTGGTTTCGATCCGTCAATATATGGCTACTTTAGAGGGTATGACCGACAGGCGGACTAACAGAAGTCACAGAATTTTATATATTGCTTATTTGCATATACCTCTTCAAGACTACGTAAAATTTCGCTATTTTAAATACTTTTAAAAGTGCTTTTCAATACACATTAAAAATAACATACGTAGTCGAATGCTTAGTGGTTTTTCAAAACGTAAATAGAAAATTATAGAATTTAAGAACATGAAGTGTTTAATAAAGAAAAGGATCGATTATTTTCATTGGTATGAATACTGAGGCATCCCTTTTGAGAAACGTGAAAAGAATGATAGATCTCGAGAATATGCAAACATACAAAATAAACCAGCACCCATTTTGAAAAATTGATTAAGCGTTTTAAAAGGTTAACTATATAAAAAAGCTTTTATATGTATTCATATGTGTAAAATTTCAGATAGAATATATCTGTAAAAGGACAATATGAATAAAGACATAGATATATCTCAGCCGTTTTGTCCTCTGAATTTATTGATCACCTCCCTCAGATGGCGAAACGTTATCCCTTTGTCCCCCCTCTCTCTCTCTCTCTCTATATATATATATATATATATATATCGTAGCCTCTCGACTCGACTTGAGACAAAGGATCTCGAGGCCGCAGTATACGTTCGAGGTGTCGATGTTTTTACGACGTATGAAGTTCAAGCAACTCACTTCCTAGGAGCAGACAGCCAGATAACCTGCACATATGATTTGATTCTATTGGTGATTTTTTTGTGCAGAACCAACCACACTTTTTGAAGAGCCGAATACAGGGAACTCAAACGACCCTCCGAAGATCTTGAATTCAGCGTTGTCCTTATCCTTATCCTTCACCAGTCGCCATCCAAGGCTATAGTCTGTCCTGCTATTTACCCATAGCTGGTGGGTATTAACATGTAAGTGAATATAATGGATTCGATTGGATTCGCCAATCCGAGCCGCTATCCATTACTCCACTGTGCCTCATATATATATATATATATATATATATATATATATATATATATATATATATATATATATATATATAAGTCAAGAATATTTCCCAATTGACACAATAGTGACGGAATATATAAACCGTTAATTCTGTTTCGATTTCTTCATTCTGATACGTTACATTCTAGTTACAAGCAAGAATAGACTGGTCTCTACCTTAGCTAGAGGTTTAGTTTGGTTTGTTTTACGGTATATCAACCACAATTGGTTATTTAATGCCGACAAAATTTTCATTGTTGGCAATTTTTTTTCAAGCATGTATTGTTAGTCATATGTTTCCTTCAAAAAAATTATTTCTGGTAATATTTTTTTTCCAAAAATGTATAGCTGGTAATATTTTTTTTTCGAAAAAGTCTTGCTGGTAATAAATCTTTTCAAAAAAACTATTGCTGGTAACGATTTTTTTACAAAGTATTTCTGGTATTAAGACCTATTTTTACACTTTCATAGCGCCCTGACCCCAGCCCGGAGACCAACTACATACCCATAGTTGGGACCCCAACAGGTGCTACCCGCCCCCTGGAACGCCATCAACCAAGAGGCGGCTCCACGCTCCTCAAAACGTCCCGACCAGAGGCCCCGACGCCAGACGTAGTTTCGTCTTACCCAGGACGTGGATGTAGTTTATCGTCATACACAGGACGGCTTAGCTGGAGGCCATTTTTTTTTCTTGCTAGTAAATATGATTTAACGTATCAAAATGAATAAATCGAAGCAAACTTACCTGAAATTTTTGCTAAGTACTTTTCAGCAGTGGTTCGAAATTTTTAAAAAATCATCAACCGTCGGCAAAGCATTAGGCGCCAAAAACTCACTGATGCAAGAAGTAGACGGAGACTTTTCTACCAAGATAGAATCACGCAGCACAATACAATTAAATGTTCTTTTTAACAATGCCAGACAGTTCCACTATGAAGTCCGCTACAGATCGAATGCTTTAAAACGACTTAAAAACTTTTAAATATTTGGTAACTATCATCTTTTAGACATGGCTGATAAATTCAATCATCAGATAACGGAACACAGATTAAAAACGTTCAACAAATTTGTAGGTATTGACTATGAGCACCACATTCTCCACCTTTGAAGCATGCGATGATTGAATTTATAGTAAAACTAGTAGTAATGCTATAAAGCTTCTGAGGGCGATTTTCAAAACATCGGTATCCGTTTCTACTGGACTTATATATGTATTACTTATTACTATAAGCGTTATATTTAGATGGTACAAGTGTTTAAGTTGACATCCGTTATTTATCAACGGGCCTATATATATATATATATATATATATATATATATATATATATATATATATATATATGTGTGTGTGTGTGTGTGTTTTTTACCAGTTTGTGACTGGAAGGGATAATTCCGATGAGGATATAAATCCAGGGAGAGATCAATATAGACTACAGAACATTGTAATGATAATAAGAAGACGGAGATTTCAATTATATTTTTTGTTTATAATTTGTATTTCGTGAACACCGTGATGTTCAACTTATCAGAACGAAATCTCTTCTGCAAATAGAAAAAGTACACCGGACGGACACATTAGATTGGTAGTGGGAAGGGGATGGGAGAGAGAAAGGATGTAAAGGTCTAAGGGATTAGAGGCTAGTAGTAGTCGGTTTACCCAGCCAAGAATTTACCCTATACTTTCAAGGTTTAGTATTGGGTAGTCTTTTTCATTGACCGCTACCGTTTGCTGTTTTTAGGCAGGACTAATCAGGACGAACCAAATTAATTTAATGAAAGAGATCTTAATTCAAATAAAGGTCGGTATTAATATAGTCATAGTTAAGTATTTGTTTTTTTAAGGCCGAAGTCTATTAGTCAGTGAAACATTGAGTTTAAGGGAATGCAAGAGCAAGATATAGGAGTGGAAGGTTCTTTGACGGGTGGGAAGAAGAGGGTGAGAGGTAAAAGGCGAAGTAATGGTTGTTTTAGCAGCCGGAATATTTCTTAACTTTTGGAACTATGTTGATTGGTTTATACAGTGGGTTGACTGGTGGTAAGTACCATGAAGTAGTGCGTAGTACAAATAATAATTAGAAGTCACAATAATATTGTCAGATACAATAGGTGAATAAAGCAAATACATTTAGAGAATTAAGAGGCGAATAGAAGTTCGAAACATATACCAAAAACAAAGGAAAAAGAGTAAAAGTTATGGAGTATGGAAATAATATGTGTTAATATGGAAACATGGGTAAGGTGTACATCGGCAAGACAGTCTTAGGTTAAACCATGTGTGTTGAAGCTCGCAAAAAGTAACCCGATCGTGTAATATTGAATACCACGTACGCACCTACGCACATACATGTACGTGTCAAAATCTACATATCCACATATGAGTGTACACCCATATGTGCTGGTATCCATACCAACGAAACCATGTCATCCTTTCAGAAACAAATGCGGTAAGAGTTTTTAGGTGATTTTGAATTTGTTTTTATGCCTACACTTGAAGATAAGCTCGCTTCGTTGGTTTAACAATTGGTTAACATTTGTGTACTTGACTATTGCGATTTTTCCTGTATACACAGATCGCATCTGTCCCGGAAGTTGTTGGGGATTGTGGACCGATAAATGATTCCTCATTTGATTATTGGGGTGAGGTTATTATCTTTAAATTTCCAACAATATACTTGGATAGAGGATTTTGGTTTTTCAGGTGAATATTTCAGAAGGATTGTCGGTGGGTGTATAGTGTCTGTTTCCAAACAGAGACTATACACCCACAGAATTTCCCCTGTCTTCTTATTATCATCTGTCTGTCTCTCTCTCTCTCTCTCTCTATATATATATATATATATGCTAAATATGAAAGTGGACATTGGATTCAACACCCAGCGGCGACAGTCTGTTTCATATGCATGTGGCCTGACTTATGCTGCCGCTGGGCGTTGACATCAGTGTCAACACAGACACAGACACACACACACACACACACACACACACACACACACACACACACACACATATATATATATATATAAATATATGCGCTCTATCTTTGATATTGAGTACTTTGATCCATAAATATAGCATACCTTAAAATTATACTTTATCACACATATATAATAAAACAACAGCCTGATGGATAAAAAAACAACATTTTTTACGTATGATTTCTTCAATTTCAGTGAGCTTATTTCATCGTTTTTTCTTTAATCACAAAGATGAAACATTATATAATGAACATTTCAAGTTCTGCTCATAAGGTTTCAGGATACAAAATTATTGAACCCACTCGTGCGTGAGCGCATACACACATTCTCACACACAAACACGCATATATATATATATATATATATATATATATATATATATATGTGTGTGTGTGTGTGTGTGTGTGTGTGTGTGTGTTGCGTGTGTGCATGTAAACAATCAAAATTTTGATAATTGTGATGCATTTACATGCACTTTTGGCCTTTACCCATATTGAAATTCAGGTTTGTTTGTTTTTTTTTAAATAAAAATCAATGTTTTTCTAATTTTTTTTTTACTCCGTTTTGATGATTTATTTTTCTATTTGAGGAGATGATATTGCGTTTATCTTATTTATTCATTTTTCGAAACTTTAATTATCTCTTAATTTTTTCTTTATTTTTAGCCTACACTAATTACATATACCTTTCATTTATTTCAGTTTTCATTCCTTCACTATTTTCTTTACCTCTATTATATTATCACCATTTTTTTTGTTAGTTCATTCGTCGTTATTTTTTTCGTTTTCTCTTCTTTCGCTTATTTAATCATTTTAAGGGCCATTCCTTTCGTTTATTTTCTTCTTTACCTTTATTTTTTTTACATTTTCTTTGATTTTGATTAATTTTATTACACATTTATATTTTTGCTTTTTTTTATCAAACAATGATCATTTCTCCACTCATTCCGAATCTTTCCTTCATCTTTCTATCATTCTGTTTTCTTAATTCTTTCAATATTTCTAATGAATGCAATTTTTCCTTAAGATGTTCTTTCTATCTTTCCTTCATTCATTCTTTCAAATTCCATAACTCTTTCCAATTACTTCATTCTTTCCGTCCTTCATTCTTTTTCCAGTTCTTTCATTCTTTCCTTCTTTCATTTTTTCCAATTCCTTCCTTCTTTCGTTTCTTTGTTTCTTTCCTTCTTTCTTTCCCTTAGCAACTCAATCACATGTTTTTCGTAACTTCACAATCCTATTCTCTTTCTTACGCCCCCGGTTTCACCGCGTTTTTCTCTCCTCCCCTTCTTTTCCCAATTTGTCTAACATGGAGTACCGCTACTTTCGTCTTCTCCGATTTATCGATCTTTCTATGAAGGGAGAGCTGGGTGAAGACAGGAGAATACGAAGAAGTGAAGGCAAGGAGAACAGGGGACGTTTTCGCTTGCTTCTTCGCATCTCTGCACTGTTCGTTTGCCCATTTATTGACAGTGTGACTGCTGATTGGTCAGACGAAGTGAAGATCTTATCGAGCCTACAACGTAGAACATTAGTGTGCCTTTACTCTTGAGTGCAATTCCTTCCATCTTTTCAGCATCGGCTTTCCCTTTTCTTTCTGCATTTCATGCTTACTTTTTCTTTTTTTTTCTTCCTTCTTTTTTCGAGTAATCAAATGTGCGCATGTGCACGCACCCACACAGATGTACATAATCGCATGCAAGAGCTACCGCACGCTAATATGAACTCACATACTCACAAATCTATATATACACATACAAATGCCACCACAAACTACATATACGGGCGTATACTGAAAGTGGACAAATGCGTGCACTAATCAACCTTTTGATAGAGGTTTTAATAACACATATATTTCTTCAGGATGAAATTGCTCGGTCTACCCGACGCTACCCATTTCACGATTTCTAGACATCTGAATCTCTTTCATATATACCGTCACAAAACCACAAAATACGTATCTATATACACAGCCATTATTTCATTCTTTCGTTGATTTCTTTCACTATGTTCAAGAATTTCCTCTTTTAACTCTTTCCCATGTTTTACTAACACGCACTATATAAATAATTTTTATATAAAGGCATGCCAGGTCTTCCCATAAGTAATAGCCGAAAAAGATGAAGAGACTTGAAGCAACAGAAATGTGGTTCTACAACAGGATGCTGAGGATGCCATGTACAGAAAACGTGAAAAACGACGAGGTATATAGAGAAAATGCAAACAAAAAGGAAACTTATACTTCACATCAGGTAGCGACAATTGAAATTTCTGTGGCACATAATGAGGAATGAGAGCTTGGAAAATCTGATATACACATTAAGGGCGGGAAGAAAATAACGCGTAACATATTTGAGTAAATGGAAATTGGAACAGGTTTTCCGTGAAATAACAAATATACGAAATTTATTAAAAGCTAAAAAGGACAGGAAATTGTGGCGAGACATGTCCTGAGAGGACTCATCACATAAAGAAGAAAATCTTAGACAATGCAACAAAGGAAAGCAAGAAGAAAGTGCTAGCTAATAAATGTAATAAGATAATGTATGATCGTAAGCAAGAGAGACAATCCAATATGAGATACGTAATATAAACGTAAGCAGATACACGAATATTATTTGGTGTACTACCAGATGACGGTTTACTTTCAGTTATAGTAAGCCAATGTTCAGATTGCAAGACCTATAAAAAAAAAATTAAAAAAAAAAACAGCGTTCAGCAGTTTGTTAATGAATAAATTCCAACTAAAATTAAGTTTGATAGTATTCCTGACACTAAATTTTATCATTATTTATGAATTATTTAGAAACATACCTTCGGTAGAGTTGGGAGGCGTCAAGTTAACTTTGCAAGCGTTGCTACTGAATTCGATACTCAGTGAGAGTACATCTGTTGTGAACATCATCCGAGTGAAAGTTATAAGTTTCAAATTAGTGTTGTCCGTCATATCAAAATGTCTTAACTTTGGGTATATAAATATCATAAGTAATTTAAGGTTTTGTCATTTTTTGGTATACAGTATTCAGCTGTTCCTTCAGAACTTGAAAATATGTGATTTTTCATCACACATCAGTTACGGAAGTTGAAGCAATATCCACTTGATTTTAAAAACTGAATTGACGATAACAAACTCACTACATACAAACGTATTTTAAAATATCTGTTCAGTATGAGCAAAGCCATGTCTTTAAAATCCAGTGATCACTAATTTTAAGTAATTTTCACCAAAACCTATATTTCTTTAACGGCTACTTTATATTTGGAAACTTAAATTACAGATTTTTTTTTGTCAGTAGATATGAATACGAGCAATGCTAAGCTTTGGGAAGAAATTTAACAGTAAAACAATCTAAAACCTACTTAAATACAGAAGTAATATTTAATTTATTCTATTTTCTTGCAATTGAATCATAATTCAAACCGCCAAGAACGTATTTAAATTATTGCAATAAATAAATAAGTAAAAAACTAAACAAAAAATACCCATGATCATTATGGTGGGTACTCGATTATTGTTACCCTTGCAAATGCAAGAAATAAACGCTTCCGAATATTGTCCTGCAGTTGTATGTGATTTAGATCATCTAGATCCATGTAAAAACGAGAAATATCTGCTTTTGAATACTGTCCTGATGTTGTATGGAATGCATATCTTCTAGGTCCATGTAAACGCAGTAAATATCCGCTAGTATACTACCCAGTAAATAAAGTCACTGACTGCATGACTGGAAATAGGTAATAATGCTTAAAATTATCCGAAATCACACATTAAACTTGGACTTTGTGTCACATTCTGTTGCAACGTGGGTCCGCGGTTGATCATTTATTCCAGAACAGCAGCAACTTAACGAATAAATACTTACAAGCTCATATATAAACGCACGGTATTTACCTATCCCAAACTAAGTAAATGCTTTTAGACTCAAATATAAACAACTTTTACCTATGCTGGTTCCAAGTAAATTCTCCTGAACTCAAATATATACAACAAAAGAATGTTCGTTCCTCAAGATGTACAATCCTCTTTTGACTTTGCTCTAGTTAGTTGATTTTAGTAAATGTATTCTTTTTATAAAATGAACGTTTTTGTCTAATATACACGAAACACATTTCCCTTTCAAGCATATTGACATCTACTAGACATGAAAACTGAATATGAACAAATAAATTAAATATCTGATGATTAGAAATTCAAAGTTAAATTCTAAATTACCGTCATATATTTTAGCTATTTATAAAAATAGCTAAACAGAAGAAAAAAACATTTGTATATATTGTGAAATTTTTATGTCGTGGTATTTTAGTAGGATCCCTGTGAATATGTGGTATTGTGGCATATGTTGAATTGAATGATGATGGATTAATTCTTGTGGTGATTGAGTAAATAGTAATTGATGAATGGGTTACGAATCAGATTAGCTAAGTTTAGGATAGTCCGTGACGACCAGCCTCACCCACTTCCCTTTCGGTCTTGTGCCAAAATTGTATTTAAAATAAAAAGCACACTTCTAAACTACTGTAATTGATGACATAAAAGTCACACGGACGAATTAGGCTCACACCCATTTCAGCAGGGAATAATCAGGAAAAAACATTGTTACTGTATTTAAGCGTTTAATGTTTAAAGCAAGCTATCTGTACATTACAAAGCATTTCAGAACACTTTAGCTATAACCGAAAACATTGTATAAAAATCAAGCTGCAGCTGAACAGAAAGAAAAAAAGTTACAAAGTTTTGTTATTGTACCTCTCTAGTAAGTATCTGACTCTCGACTCTATATTTTGTCTTTACAAGAGCTAGATCAGACCAAAAATGGAGAATTGCTGTCATATCTGTGTTGGGTTTCTCATCCTCGATTTGCCTGTCTTAAGAGAATTCAAAGCGTAAACGTGGCGCTGAGGGTGAGGAATTATTTTCTGCCCTAAAACCTCTTACCTAAGGACTAAGCGTTGTGAGTCTTTCATTGTTCTATTCTCTATTTTTAGGTTATGTGTTCTGACGAGCTATATTTCTTAGTCCCACTACCCATGACCTTTACACCTGGGACCCGTCATGCTAACCACACAGGGTGACTCGTCACAATTCTCTTCATATTCCGTTCGGACAGCTTCTTCCTAAGAACTGCTGTCTTGTTGAACAGACTTCCAACATGATGTTCCACCAATCACTACATTCTTGACCTCTTCAGTTTAGTGTTAACAGTTATCTTGCCTGTATAGCACCATGAAGTTAATTTCTTGCGCTTTCTTACGCTCATATAACCCCATACTGTAACCTTCTATTTTGAGTGGCTCTTGAGCCTTGTATTGGGTAGACATTAGCATAAAAATACACCCCAACTCTTTCAGCAGTCGTTCTTCTCGGAGAGTTTTGGATGATAAACACATTTCTCTGCGCTGTTGATGCAATTTTCCCCAGGTAGTGTTTTAGAATTACCAGTATTTGCCTTTGGGTACGTGTTCTCTTTTCTGTAGTTTTTAGCTGGTTAATAATAGATTATGATGAACCAGCTGGCGCCGGTGAACTAATGAGAATCTATTTTACAGTATCAGTAACAACAATAAGAAAAAATAATGTTGTTTATGTAAATATGATTATGGGATCGGACTGGGAAGAAAGGACTGTTTGAAGCAGAATTATATCCGACGGTAGTAAGTGTTGGGAATAAAATTAGCCTAATGGGGAACTCAACAATATTTCGTCAGTTACAAAATAAATAAATAAAAAATAAATAAATAAATGCACTCTTTTTAAGCAAATATTTACAAAGCTCGTAATTTGACATTGTCCTAATTGGATGTTGCCTGGCCAGAGGAAGAGATGAGCTGGTCGTAGGAAGATTTTGCTGTGTCATTTCTCCAAATAGTTAGGATCTGAATACGTTGAAACTACAACATTTGAAATCATATGAGTTTAACTATGTAGTGGGAAAATGCAACCATCTTATCAACCAAGTAGCCCTCAGTTTGTATTACACGTGAATTGATCAATAATTTGATAAAGTTATTAAATGAATGTTAATCTAAAACAATTTGATCTATGTGATTCATAGGGGATGGTTATCTTAGTTATAATTTTCATTGCTTTCCATCATTGAAATACAACTTCATTGATACGGCAACATGAGTGTATATTTATTGGTTTGTTAGATAAATTATTTCGGTTTTCCCAAATGTTATTTGATTTATAAACGCAAACTATTTTACCGTAGTGATTTATGTTTTTGTACATCTATTCATTCTCTACAATTTTGTTTTTAAAATTTTGATTGAATTTTACCTCTTTTCAAATATTATAGCTGAAAAATAAGATAGAAAAAAACGAATGAACTTATTTGGCAACCATAATTTTTTTACGTAAATGCTCTGTTTTTAATTAAACAGTATTAATTACATTTACCGGCCTGAATGTTCGAAAAGTTTCGTAGTAAATTTAAATGAATTGTATCTATAAAAATAACGTATAAACAGAAAATATATTAAATAATTGTGGGACTTAATTCATTATAGGTTGTTATTGTTTAAGTTAAGATATGTTTCATGAGCAGATATGATCGGTCGAGAAAAACCGTTGAAGATTGTGTTTATAAATAGTAATTTGAACTTTTCTAACCAGGCGCTTCTGTGTAACTAAATGGTATACCACATTATATATATATATATATATATATATATATATATATATATATATATATATATATATATATATATGAACTGTCTATCACTATTACAATTTATTCTTATGCCTATAAGTGGATTACATACACACATATGTAGTAAGAATGAACTTAAACAAGTTGTATTTAATTTAACAGACAATGTCTATTTCTTATTGTAATTATTAAATTTTCGATTAAGTCGTTGCACATCCAGATGAAAATTGTGGATAAACTCTACAATTTTCCTATTGTTATCCTACTATTTTCCACCCGTCTCGGTCATGTTCAGGATCTAAATATTGCCAGTATTGTAGAGCTGATGTTTGGTAGATACATCGATCGTAGCATATTTGGAACATTTAAAACTGGAATATAAGTAAACATCACGTCTCGGGAGGTTTCGCAGAGCTTGACAACATCAGATAGACATTTCAAATATTTTACCCTGATCTTCAAATGCCTTCTCCTGACGTGAACGATATTTAATATATTATTATTTGTATAATAATATATTTTGGCATTTTGAGTTTTCCCTCGTATTCAGTGTAATATATTAATTGATATTATCGTCGAATATTTGTCTCATGTCAATATTTGTATTTTGGTTGTTTGTGATGTTCTTCCTGTAAATCATTAGTGAATGAAATTGCTGATGTTTTGCTTCATCTATGTCAACTGTGATGAATAGTCATTTGAGATTTACTCAGCTTAATTTATTTTAGGATCAGGCTGTAATTATGGGAAACCCAGTGGGGACCAAACTCCCTACTCAGTTACAATGATCTCCTGAACTTACTCTCAAAATATAACCCTACGCTGGAGTGCTCAAGTTTTTATTTACTAAGCTTAGCATAATTTGGCACAAGTCCATAATTTTTGAGAACCCAATAACAATGGAACACAATATTTAATAGGAATCGTCGACCAGACTAGTGTGATAAACATTACTTCATGCCGAGGTGCCTAAGTTAATATTTGCTAAGCTTAACATGTTCGGCACTGGGTCTTATGTATGAAAACATCCAGTGGAGACAGAACACACATCAGTAGTAATGATCAACCTGACTAGCCCGTAAACTATTATCCAAACCGAGGAGGTGAATTTATTACTAAGCTTCGTTTAATTTGGTACATGGGCCCCAAGTTTACAACACGCAGTGAAGACCGAACATATTAGCCATTAATATGATCAATCCGACTAAATCTTAACCTACGCTAAAGTACCAATGTTGTTATTTACTAATTC